GATACCTTAGTCAATATAAAGTTGTTGTTAACAGGGTACACACACATGCTGTTTGCCTAAATGTTTCTGACACAAATATTAAAACATATTTGGACATACATAATGAAGGATGCAGATATTTTCTTTAAAATATTCAATGGATTTTGGATTTTGTCTGCGACTACATAACAAGAAGAAATTGCATTTATATTGCTCTTTTCACGTCGGGAGGAAGTCCCAAAATGCTGCACAATGAGAGATTTTTACCCAAGCTGTGAGTTGCGGAGAGGGGGAAGGACAAGGTGGGTGGCAAAGGGAAGATGACTGAACAACGGTCGAAAAGAAAGGTCTTGGGATAGGCCTTGAAAGAGGCAAGGGAGAAGGTGAGCCAGGGGGGCTCTGGAATGGAGTTCCCAAGGGTGGGGCAGAAAGGCCGAAGACCTCACTGCTGACAGTGAAGCAGACGGGGTGGGGGGGAGGGGGAGAAATGGAGCAAGCCAGTGCCTGCAGAGCGGAGGGAGTGGACAGGTTGGGGCTTTAAAGGTGAGGACAAGGATCAATCACCCTGCTTCCCCCCCTGCCCTCCACCCTCCCCAATCCCACCCCCTAGCTCGGGTCCGAAGCACTGACTGTCCAGTGCCTTTGGAATGTCCTCCCGACATGAAAGATGCTGTACAAATGTAATTTTGTTGTTGTTGTTCAACTCAATCCTCTGGGGGATTGGGAGCCAGTGAAGCTGTACAAGGATGGGCTGATCAGCTTGCAAAGCTTAGTGGGGGAGAGGACACGAGCTGCATAAGTTCTGAATAATCCGATCCGGTGAGCAGGGAGTTAGCATAGTCAAGCCTGGACATACTGATGGCATGGATGAGGGTTTCAGCAGCAGAGATAGTGGGGGAGGCAAGCAATGTTGTGTAGAATGGGGAAGGCAGAATGGGTAATGGCAGAGATGTGGAATATAACAAAGCCTCATTGTTGAATAGAGATTTTGTGACCACTCTAATTATAAATGGACATGTATGCAGAATATCACCCACCCACTGAATACTAATATTATTTAAAGTGTACATAGATACAATATACAATTTATAGGAAATGATTGTGAAGATATATCAGAAACATTCTTATCGACTGGTATTAGTGTATGTGTGAGTTACACAGTTACCACAAAAATAGTCTTACAGAACAAGTTAACCCTCCTTCTTTAAAAACATTTCCCTAAATAAAACCAACTCATTGTTGAAACATTTCTGGAATGATCTTTACATTCTTTAAGACCAATGTTGACTTTTGTAGTAAGGAGAGAAATGTACTGCCTGAATACTGTGATTCTTTCGTTGACTTGGAAAATTCAAAAGCAGCAAAGTGAGTGTTTAATGTATGTGTTGCAATATATTGCTGCACTGGATCTCAAACAAAAGGGCGCGGAAGGATTTGGAAAAATCCAACTTAAAAGCCTGCTTGAAACACAATCACAGAAATGAACAGAGCAGTATTGACTACAGTTTATCATGGGGATGGTGATTAAAAAAAGATTGTATTTTAAAAGATAAACAAAATGTAGTTGAATTATTCACTGCAGTGGCTGTTAGAATTTAATTAGGTCAGAGGTAAATGTATTATGGCCTGTGGGCTAAATTCAGTCCAATGAATCTTATTTGGCACACTGTTTTTTCTCCTTGTTATTTCCATTATTTTTTGCAGTAAAACTAGGACAACGTTAGATCTGCCAGGTAAGTGGCTTGCAGGTGTAGAGAATGGGGATTACGTAGCAGGACATAGTAAGACATGACCTTTTGCAGGGTGTACACTATCCAAAAATATGGTATGGTGGACTCACCTTGTCTGTGTGGAAGGCACCACATATTTAGCACTCACTTGTATCCTCTTTTGGCCTTTTCCACAGATGGTCACAGGCACAATACAAAACTGTGGAAGTATAAAACATACCTGAAACTATCCAATAAAGAGCAGATCCAAGTATAGCATCTACACACAAGCTATAAGGAAATGAAGATCCAGAGGGTGATGATGTGATTTTGTCACAGTAGTGCAGCTGACACGGTCACTTCACAGTAACTGGTCCACAACTACTTAAATGTAATTGTGAAAATGCTAAACTATAACGTAGTACCAAGCAGAGAAAAACAGTATGGAAACTAAATTCATGACCCCCCCCCCCCCACTCCCCCACCCATTTCCTTCTCTTGCCTTCCTACCATTAACATAATGCATGCACATTGTTGCTCACTTTTTGGAGAATTGGAAATTGGACAGTGACCAGTTAAACCCATTAGAAAATCAAGTGATACAATTAATGCGATTTCTCTCATCTTTTTGTTGTAAGCTATTATTATAAATGTGCTAAGGCAAATTTAAATACAAAATATCCATACATTTGATACAGTTCCTCATCACACTGAAATGTTTCCAACCACTTCAGTGTAGTTACTGTTATGTCCAATGACTGTGTAATTGAAGGCGAATGCAGCAGCAAATTATGATGCAGAATAAAGGATGTAGAAACACAGAAAATTTAAGATTGTGAGTGTGGTGGGATTAAATGCTGATTGGTCGAACCATTTCATTTTGTTTAATACCACAACAGGTTACAAAGTCCAGTCAAAAATATAAGTACAGTACTCAATAGATCTTAGCTGTCATCAGCATAAGTTATAAAAGTTGTGAAAATGTACAAACAGTAACTTAAGACATAATTACCTTTTATGAATTCAGTTTGAAACAGAATAAGCATACAATGACTTTCAGACCATTCTCTACACACGGCTATCTATCCATCAATGGAAGTGTTGTGCCTGTTCACATGTCTCCTGTGGCTAACATATCACAGGGTAGTTTGTCACTGCCAATTCCCCTTGCCCACTCACAGATGCTAATTTCAGTCACTTGTCACTCTTTGCTTCGCTTACTTACCAAATCAGGACTAGTATTCTTGAGGATTCTGAGTACCCTTGTCCTGGAAAACAATTTAAAATATTCCAAGAAATTAGTTATACTGTGCTAGTTTTCTTCTGGCTCATTTCTGAATTATACCTGCTATTAAGAACAGCTGGTCGCAATTTAGCAAGTCTGTGGAATATAAATTGTTGCAATTTTGATCACATTAGTGAGTAAAATACATCAAGACACATTGAAATTATGAAAATGTCAGAGCAAATCGGAAAAATAGAACTGTGTGAAAATATTTGTAGTAGTGATTGTACAGGACTATTGCTGTAATATTTATGCTATGTATATTACATATACATAGATATCAATTTATTGAACTATTTGTTGCTTAGTCCTGAACCAGAAAGGAACAAATTATGCACAAGAGATATGAAGAGAGTGAAGTTTGAGAAATAGAAACTCAGCAAGCTTTCTGTCACTTTTAAAAGAGATCTGGTGTTATGCCAGGAGTCAGAAGCAGGAAAACTGAAATCCCATATAAAATATTATTTTTATTGCTTGAAGCAAAGGTTTGCATCTTCTCCCTGCTGCATGAAGAGTAATGATAATGACTAGATGTAAAATAAATTATTATGAAAGATTATTACTATAGCAACTAAAATTACATAATCCACATCTTATTTCCTCAATGCCTGTGTTAGGTTGAATTTCTCTTTTCCATAGTATAAATATAGAAATTGGAAATATAAATTTACTGGACTTTAAATTGTAATGATCTCAATATTATTACACTTATGCTGTATTCTGAAATTAGTAACTCAATTACTTAGCTCCTAGACGTGGTGTAATCTTCTTCTGCCTGGAGTCAGTGAAAAATCCTAGAAAAATGAATCAGACTTTATCTACCATAGTTTTAATCATATTACTGTCATTCTTAACTATGAGATCATAATAACTACTCAACTTCTCTTTTAGGTCAGATGCACAGGTGAACGTAGTGTTTACTCCAGTTGCAGTCATTGAGAAGTCTACAATGAGGTCTAAGTTTCAAGTTTCAGGTTATGCCAACCAAGTGTAAACCATGTAATAATAAAAANTAATCCTTCGATTTGATATAGTGCTTTTCACATCTTCCAGCCGTTTTAAATATATTGTAAAGTGAATTGACTGTATGTTTCTCCACGCAGATGTGTACAGAGAGAATTATTGCATGAGGGTGGGTCCAATTATATAATTAGTCATGAAAGGATTATAGACACATTGCTTGTTAATTTCATAATTAAAGGCATCTGCTTGTAATTTCCTCTACATGTGTGTTTACACAAGACAAGCATAACCTGCAAATTACACTCAGAGAGACAAAGAAAGTAGAGAAAAACCAAAAGGAAGATGTTGGGGAACAAATGAGAGACTGACACCGTATGTGCCCGTGTCTGGAAAGTGTGAAGCGTTGTTTGACAAAAGCAAGGGATGAGAGATTCTCCCAGTTCACATTCATGTGTTGCTGGATTGAACCAGTTAAACTGCTCATTTCACTCAAACCAGGCCAAAATCATGCAGTTTCTGGCCTTTTTGTAATTCCTCTGCTTCCACAGAGCAGAATTTTTTTTGTTTTCCATAATAATAATAATAATCCTTGCATTTGATATAGCGTTTTCACGTCTTCTAGACATCTCAAAGTGCTTCACAGAATAAACTGTAAAGTGAATTGACTGTATATTTGTGGGCGGAATGCAGCAGCCAGTGTCCTGCAAATGGTAGGATTGAAATGACCAATTTATTATTGTTTTTTTTGAGGGATTATTATCAGGCAGGCGTTTGGAGTAAGGAAACTTTATGAATTGGTAATTAGTCGGTAAATAACAGAAAGTAATAAAAAACATTTATGGTTTTGCTGTCTGCTCAGGAAGCAAGTTTCCTATCAACCCTGCAGGCAATAACTCGAGTTTTCCCAGCTGATTCTGACAGACCTGACAACTCTTTTTTCACAACTTGTCCCTTCCTGACAGTTATTTATTTCTAGCTGACCCTGTTGTGACAGCAGTTGCTACATTTATAGCTGATCATCCATTCCTGACTCCAGCTCCCTCTTTTGGAGCTGATCTTGTGTCAACTGCATTCTTCACAGCTGACTCTCCTCTGACTTTTCTTCTCACCACCAGCTTTTCTACAGTTCTCGCATTTGTACTTGCTAAACGTTTACCACTGGAACAATTTCAACTTCTGAATAATATCGCTCACTTCTGAACAATATAAGAATTTTGAATGTGGTGAGTAATTTGTTTCTGTGACAACTGATGCAAAAGAAGTAGAATAAAAGTACAAGAGGAAAGATTTCTTGTTGCTATTTATATCAATACACGATCAAACAAGTCAATTTCACAAACTTTTCTTCTTCCCTCTTGGTATGAAGAACAGCACAAATAGTGCAACAAAATGAGCAACAAGTAAATCACATATTCATGAATATGAGTGTTTGTAGATACTGTATATTAGTGTGACTGAAAAATTAATGTTTATTAATTCATTGACATGGATACATTAACAGTGGAAAGAAGCTTAGGTGTTTGATGGTACCTCTGAAGTTATTGTAACAAGTTGTGTGGCTTCCACCAGTCTGAAAGTTTATTTAGGACAATAGCACATTCACGGCCTTAAGCCAAACTATGAAAAGCATTTGGGGAAAGATAATAGAGCTATTGTGTTCTCTGAGCTAATTAGTGTATTGATCTATAATTGAACTTTCTGCAGATAGCAATGTGCACATTTCTAAAGTTTTAAGAATTATAACTTCTTAATTCATTTCATTTATCAAATATCAGATTAATATTCTGCATTCATTTTATTGAAGCAGAAGTCATTTTGTCACTAAAACATTATCTAGATTATTTTGTGTATTTCCAGTCATTTTATTATTTTAATGGATAAGCAGTAGTTTTCTGATTCAAAATGTGGAAACTTGTATAACTGGCCATCATTTATTCTCTGTGTCTTACAGTCTTATAGGGAAGTAATGTTTGAATAGTATGCTCTACTTTTAAGTTTTAGAACAAACTTATATATTGAAATAACAAAGATGGGTGTAAATAAAGTGCTTCAGTACTTGTACTAAATAAAGTTTTATATTTATTTTGTTAGGTGAAATGACTTCTGCAAAACCAAATGTTCCACTGAAAATGGACACAAAAGATCTTCAGATCAGGACTTTAACTGTGGAAAAGTTAATTGAGCCCTTGATAATACAAGTGAGTTTTTGATAATCCAAATGGAATATATCAACACATGCAAATAGGTTTATTGTTGTACTTCATCTAAAACATGGTTGACATGGATGGAATAGTTTAATTGTGAAAAATCACTGTTGGAAAATCGAGCACTCTGAGATGCTACCCTGTGTAGTTGTCGTTGTTGTTGACTTCATTATTTCACACTCAAATCAGTCAAAACTCTATAAATTTAAACAAAGAAAACTAAATCGTATCTCCTTAATATTGCAGCATAATGTGTTTGCCTCTCATATGTAAGGACAATTATTGTTTTATTCACAAAATAAAAACCTATTTTCTAAAATGCTATACTCTGTCCAGTGCCTTGGGACGTCCTCTCAACGTGAAAAGCGCTATACAAATGTAATCTTGTTGTTGCTATTTTTTGTCAAAAAGGGGGGAAAAATCAGGAATGTAACACAAATAAAGTGCAAATTGGGATTTATTTTAGAACATCTGCTAACCTCTTGCATTAGGAATATACTCAAAGGTGTGTTCATATATATTGTGCAAATATCCTTTTGAGTTTATTTCTAAAACTGATGGCTTCTTAGCCTTCTATGCAGAAATATGGATAAATTGCAAATTTGCATTTAAAATTGGTTAAAAATGACTGATGGTCCTTACCCATATGGTATCAATATATCCTGCCAATTTTGTCCTCTCTTGTTGGAGACAGCAGGTGGGAGATTACGGTTGGATTGAATTCTAAGGAGCAGTGTCTGAAACCAAAATTAAGCACAAATGCTACTTTTGAGAGATATTAGGGAGATATGGGTGGGGGGGTGGCAGGTAACATTATGTTTGGTTTGTGATGTTCATTTATAACATGGTCAAAAGTGCAACACTCAATGGCAAGCAGAATATGTCACCCCTTGGAAGTAATTCCACCTGATTTTAAGATTTAAGCTATTTTATTAAATTCAAGTTGATTTTCTAGATTCAGAAGGAACTTCCTGAAAGCCAGCTCTAACATTTAGGCTACATTGAAGAAGTTGCCAGTTTCGAGGCAGTCTAAAGTGCTGTATAAATAGAGCAAATTTAGGTCCAGGTGGAATTTATCTTCACTTATATTTTAATAACTTGGAAAACAGCTACAATATTTTAATCTGTAATTCAGTTGACTCCCAAATGTAGAATTATAGAAGTAACTACATTTATGTTACTGTTTAAACCAATTCTAATATATCAAAGAGCTAAAGATTTAAATTAGCCTAAATAGACCTTCTGTAAATCAAAACTAGCCGTTTTTTCCTTTAGTGCCTTATTTGTTTGGTGCCGTCATGATGTACAGGTATTTGGTTTGATGATGGTATCGCATTTAGATTCCTATTTTAAGCCCACTCACAAAAATGCATTCTATGTTAGTTTCAAATTACAGCAGAGCCCCATCATAAAGCCCGCCCTTCCTTTAAAGGTAGGTTTGCCCACGAGGCAGAAGCCCTGTGGAACTGAGGTTCGTTTCAGCGTGTGGACCAGCCAGCTTCCTGCATGCAAAAATGGTTGACTTCTGGCTCATCAGGTTACACCGATGTTACTTCCTGTGCTATGTGATATGTGCGGAAAACACTTGCTGATAGCTCACATGCACAAGAAGTGACATTGGCAACAAACTGATGATTTGGAAGTTGGCCATTTTTTAACAAGGGAAGGCAGTGTGCATGCACAGTGTGCAGGAAGTTACATTGGTGTCAGCCATTTTCAGGACATTGTGTAAACCCCACTTCTTGCCTACGCACAGAAAGCACCACTTTTGTACATTTGCAAATTTTTTTATTAAAATGTTATATATTTTTACATTTCTTGTGATTTTTAAGAAAAAAAGCAGCAGTTGTGATAAATTCTGTGGACCTGGAATAGCTTTGTGGTAGCTGACTAACTGTTTAACAAGATTGATTTTGTACTGCTGATTAAAAACATACATACACTGTGAGAAGAAGTCCTGATTTAGAATGCCCTCCCATGGGACTCAGCAGTTCATATTGCCTAATACATTCTCAGCTGAAGTTAAGTACAAGATCAATACATGAGACAGACAGAGAGAAAAAGAAAGGAGAAAGTAACAGAGAGAGATGAGGTAGAATTTACATAAGTGTTTTTTTTGTTTCAGGGTTGTTAGAATAAAATGGGACATACAGAGATGTCCTTACTGTGGACAGGTTCTCACACAGTTTATATGCTGCTGTTCACTGTAGCTTGTTACTGTTACATATTTGACATTCTGCAAAATGCCAAAAAACTAAATTGGGATTTGTTAATGAATAGATTGAAAAACTTTATTCATTCAAATCTTTTCAGTTTGTAGGTCACTGCATGGTGTCTTTGTACATTTAAGCCACTGAACAAAATAACTGCCTGTTAGTATTGGAAATGAACTGTGCCAACTTTTATGTAACTGTCAGCAAATACCTCTGTTTGAATGCCTGGTACATTAGTAATGGAGACCTATTCTGCACTGGTGATGGTAGGTCTAATAATAGAAAACAAAACCCAAATGTTCTGGAAGAAGATATATTTTGATAAATATTCTATTTTGTAGCAAATTAATTTACTATTTATCTTCCTTTCATGCTGTAAATATAGACTTAAAAATGCCCCCAAAACATGCACACCCTATTTTGTATTAGGGAGACTTGGCATGCATGCTAGCATAGCATTAATGTAGTAACACTTAAATATGCAGAATATGTTAATTGGGAAGATGTTGGCTGCATTATCCTCTGCATTAAAATTTATAGCTAGCAATCACCTTATGCATCTTTATTTTAGTTTTTTATATGGCCACAATTGTGTTCTCAACAGTAGAGATATCAAGCCATTTTTTCATGGTTATTTTAAGGGGTTATCCATGACTATTTGTGGGACACTGGCTGCCGCGTTTTGCCCACAAAATATACAGTCAATTCACTTTACAGGATATTCTTTGAAGCACTTTGAGATGTCTCGAAGATGTGATAAGGTGCTATATCAAATGCAAGTATTATTATAATTATTATTATTAATCAACATTAATAATTTCAATCCTTAAAGATGGGTAAAGAGGTGAATGATAAAGATTTTTTGCTGGAAGGCGGAACATAATTTGGTGGGATAGTAGTCATTTTTTGCCAGAGCTATTTACATTCCAGCTTTACACATCCATATTATGGTCCATTTTATTTAATGGAGAAATGTATTGATTAATGTTTTCTTTCTTTGAAATAATTTGATTGCTACTGATTGTTCAGTTTACTTTTTATCTAATCAAACGAGAATGGATTTAAATCTTATATCAATAAGACAAAAGAGTGCAGATATTCTAATTCTACAAAGGCCTAAATCAGTACACTTACGTGACTGTGTTCTCCCTTGTATAATTTGATAAACACCAATAAAATTTTCAAAAATAACCTTGTAAAAATACTAGTATTATTTCCTTCTTGTCTCTCACAAATAAAATTGGTCACTCACTCCATGGCTGTTTTGGGGGACATTGCTGTGCAGAAACTGCTGTGAGACATGGCTGCTGTGTTTTGCCCACAAAATACACACTTTACAGTATATCCTGTGACACTTTACACTTTATAGGATATCCTGTGAAGCGCTTTGAGATATCTCAACAATGTAATAATGTATCAAATGCAAAGATTACTATTATTATGATGTTTATTTCAGCTTTACATAATTCATTGAGAGAGAGAATTGCATTATTCTAGGCTTAGTCAGCTTGGTGTTAGAGGCTGCAAGCCCTCCTACTCAAAAAATACATAGTACAATATAATACAGTCATTGCAATATATACTTCTAACAGAAAGGCCATTGCAAAAATGTATAGAAATATACAGGAGCATTTTAATAAAAGACCGATCAGGATGAAACTAGAATGAAATTCACTAGAGGTGCTGTAGGAGATCAGTTCAGACTTCTGTAAAATTTGTAGTAATGTTTTTCTCATTCACATTTTAGGTCACAACATTAATGAACTGTGTAAAAAACCCTTCAAAGAATAAAAAGGGACAATCAAAGAGGGCTCGTGTTCTTTTACTGTCAGTGGAAGAAGCTACCAACAACTTAATTGAGAAAGGGGATCAGATTGCAAAAGAAAGTACGTTTTTGAAGGAAGAACTTACAACAGCAGTTCAGCATGTTCGTAAAGAAGGTGAGTTTATGATCCAGATAGGATCAATATCCCTTCACATAGTTATTCTTGAGTGAAGTATTTAGAATGCTGTGTTAGCATTCATAACCCTTTATTTACTAAAGAGAATGAAGAGATCTATGCAGATGGTAGTAATTGTTTTCTTTAATGTATTTGATTCCTCTAATTATCATAATCTAGAAGAAAAATGGTGTTTTTATTGTCAGAAACTGAACTTAATATTAACTAAGAAAAGCAATGTAAGGGCAGAAAAATATGTTTAATGAAGTTGCAGAAATATTGTATACCGGGTGAAAGGGAAATGGAGAATTGCATTGAAGCCAACTACATATTAATTGTATTACTATGCCTAACATGTGGTTCATTCATATCTATCTACGTTTACGAGATAAAATCTAATGGACATCTGTGTACCAGTTATTGGAGAGTAACCTGCTATTTATAGTACTTCACCCATGAATGAAGAGCACCAAACAACTCACATGCACTGTAGAACTAAGACAGTTGAGCAGGTCATGTTCAGCAGTACAATATTTACAAAGCGGTATATATTGTGACAAAAGAAAGAAGTTAATGTATAACGACAGTTTTATTTCAATTATGCAAGGCACTGTGTATAGAAAGTTAAAACAGGAGACGCCTGGATGTGACAGGAGTTGTCAGAGAGGATACTGAAAGAGATCTAGGGCAGTTATTTGGCTTATTGCTCCCCATGTCTGAACAGTGTGAAGCAGTTGTAAATAAGGCAAATGGGATGCTCAGTTACATTAACAAATCAATTGAATTTAGGTCTCCAGACACTCAAACTGTAGAGTTCTCTGGTCAGGTTGGATTTGGAGTACTTTATGCTGGTCGGCCAGGCTCTCAAGGAAGTGCAGAGGAAAGCAATTAGGCTGACCCCAAATATTCAAGGGAAGACATATGAAGAATGACTAGATAAGCATGTCTGAAACAAAAGCGTTGTTTCAGACAGGACCTTATCGGGTAAGTAAGATCATTAATGGTGCAGAGAAAATAAATCCAGAACAATACTTTCAGATATACCAAGACACGAGGGTAAGAGGGCACAGAATCAGGAATGTGAAGGGCAATTGTAGGACAGACATCAGAGAGTATTTCTTTACACAAAGGGCAGTTGACAGCTGGAAGAGACCAGGTTACTCGATTCATTCAAGGAACTGCTTAATGTTTTAATGGGCAGACAGTCGGGAATTCTAGATGGATGAGATCTAATAAACCGCAAGCTATACCTCAGTTATGATCTACTGTGAAGTTTGGTTGCATAGTATCTTCACAATACCATGTGGAAACCTAGTCTTCTGTGGGATCTTTTAATTTAAAATTAAAGAGCTAATATACTCCTAAATAAGAAACATTTTAAGTGATTTCAAGTATTCTGGCCATCTGGTATTACAAGTCCAAAGTTTCACATTCTTACCACCTGCTCCGTGAAGAGGTGTCTCTTAAATCCCTTTTAGATCTACTAGTAGTCTCCTTACATTTGTGCCTGCCCAACAAGTGGAACAGCTTATCAACTTCCACCCTCTCAAATCATTTCATAATCTTAAACACAATTATTAGGTCCCCTCTCAATCATCATGTTGCATGACATGAAATATAATTTCTGAAGCTATTGGTTAACAGATACAATTTTATCCCATTTACCTGTTGTGCTGTAACGATCGACATAGTTATATAGAAAGTACATTTGAGCTGGAACTGAGTATAGAATGGAATGATTATTCACAGTACAGACTGTGACTGTTCATAGTACAGGCTTTCTGTGACACAAAATTACAGTACAGCTGTGATTATTAGCACCAAAACGACAATCATTTTGACATTTGTATGTTTAGTGCAACAAATGAATTGAGCCTTTAAGTCTTTCAAATTTTGCTTGCGTTTGTCATTTTTTTAAAAAAACTTCTTACTTGTATGGATAGAAACTTGGCCCCATGGTGCAAATGTGGTTCTGCAGAATGAAATGAAATATGGAAGGCTGGTGCATATTACTAAATATAGTCGCCTTAGTATTCTCACTTGTCAGCTGATTAAAATTCGATTGTGGGTAGTAGTGCAGCTGTGTTTGGAATGCTGAACAGTAACTCATACCGTCATTCAAACTCACACAAGCTTTTAAGGTGGTGCTTTCCAAAGATTCCTAACTGGCAATCTTTATTATAACAGTATCCAAACTAATGTATTGCGTCTTTGTAGAGCTCCAACTGCAACTAATTTTCCTTCTTGAAACCTCCTCCCACCCCCCACCCATACTCATTGCCCCCACTTCATTTTAATTTAAACGGGAATGTTTGGAAAGCTGTTGCTGTAATTTTAAATTCCTGATTGCCTAAAGATAGCAGAGACCAGAACTCGTACGTGCAAGTCAAAATTGTGGAGGCCAGCATCATCTTGCTATTCAATTTCTTTTTGGAGATGGTGACGTGATGTTGAACCAATTTATTTTTCTTTATTGTAGTGTTGCCAAAGGCTTGTCATGCAAATGGTATAATACTTTTTATCATCTTATCAGGTGGGTGTGAATGAAATCTATGTCTCCCACTTTCTTGAAATGTCCGGGAGAAGCAACTCCCAAACATACAAGTATTTACAACAAAATATCTTGACATGTTAGCAGGACACAGATTTTAAAAAATCTTCAATTTAGGACTATATCAAGTTTCCTATGTTAATTCCAATTTATGTTCGTTTTGATGATTCTTAAAGCCAGATTTTTACAAAGTCTTTTTAAAAAAAAAACGGAATTCTCTAGCAGTGCTGTGGAAGGAGTTAGTTTTGTTTTTATTAACTTTCTTTACCAGAAGGAACATTAATAAAGTCATTTGTAGTGTGAGGTAATCAAAAACCTCAGTGTGGTAGAGGTTAAGCACAAAATGCCTCTGTGAAATCTAATACTTAACCTTTACATTGGTGGTGACTGATTCTTCCCACTGAACAGTGCTGGAATGAAGGTCAGGGTAAACTGTTTGCTGTAGTAACTGATTTTTGCCACTGAACGGAGCAGTACAGAAACAGAACAACTGTTCAAGCAAAAAATAGAAATAGAACAAAGAAGTTTAAAGAAGCTTAAAAAAACTCTGAGCATGCTGCATAAAAACAAAAGGGGGAAGTGGTGGTGGGGTGGGTGGAGGGATGCACAGCACAGGAAAGAAATTAAATGCAATGAAGATGGATCATTTTTAAAACCTCGGTCATTGAGCTAGCTGGTAACCAATGTTAGTTCATGACCTTATTGACCTTGATTTTTTTTTAACCCCGTAGATAATATGATGAGCTGGAAATCAGAAATAACAATCACTGGAGAGCTAATTAGTAATTATTTTGGGGTGGGTTCCAAAATGCTACATTTTACACCCAGGTTTTATTCTGAACATTTCTTTGAAATGTAGCTCTGCGGATTCGTTCTGATGACTTTTTCAAATGATTTCAACAGGTCTTCCACTTAGTGTTTAAAAATGGAGGAAAGAAAACAGAAAAAAAAACTTGTTATAGTTTATCTCTCCAATTTCTTTTTCTCCTTTTTTTTGCACACCATAAAGAGATGCCACATACTAAGGCAGATCCTGTTGAAACCATTAAAAATGGATGAAGCCCACCAGTATTTATACTCTTGGGTTAGACCTCCAATATGATGCACATTGGTTCAACCCCAATTTAAACATTGAGTTTGTACTAAATTGTTGGCAAAACCATAGTAATTCATCACCTAACGTGGAGACAAGAATGTAGAATAATAAAACATTTATCCATGTGGACTCTTGCAATAGACAAATGCTTTTTCATATTACAGGAGACCAGGTCAAAGCAGGACAACAATTAATATGTGCAAGTGCAAATAGTACTCTTTGAAGAAGCATCTTATGTGAGTTAGTGATGGTTGGTTACGTAAATAAATTGTGTTTCTATTACTGTCACTGTCAACACACAGTACTCATTTCTTTGATGTATTCAATCTAGTTTACATCAGCTCTGATGTGCATGAGTTGTGTAAGCCTCGTTGGTTTCTACACAGACATTCATGCTATGTTTATGATGTGCTTCACTAATAGAAATTGAATTTGGCAGGTGCATTTTTCTATACGTGTGATTGGATGGCAAGGATGCCCGGATGTTATCTGCCGATTTATGTTTGAATCTCACAGCTGGGGACTGTCAGAGATGCAGGGAACCAACTGAGAACTTAACTGGCAGCGAAACTGAGACTGTTACACAAACAACATACATAGAGCAGAGACACAGAAATGCAGATTCTCACAGATGGGTGGGAAAGGCATAGACACATTAGAGCAAAGATATACATGCACAACGACACAAACAAGTGTCTAATTAAAAAGTGGCCTAAGCATGATGCTCCATAAATTGCTCTAACTCCCACTCAAATCTATGATGCTCAGGCTACTATCTTGGAAGACTTTATACTCTCAGCTATTTAGGTGAATGACATACAAAGCCCTGAAGCAGATATGTTCCATCATGTTTGGAATGAGTAGAGATTATATCATCTCCACATGTCTAAATTGACATGACTGTTCGATAGTTTCAAGAGATGTTGTCCATGTCCATCTACACTGTGCATCAATCTGAGAAGCAGTGCAGATGAAAGGCATATATCCTGGTTTATATTTAAATAAAACAAGAAGTGTCAAGTTCTCATCACACTAGCACTATTCTTGTAAGCTTAGAAACAGCCTAAGGATTGTATGTGTGTGGGTGGGTGGAGTGGAAAAAGAGGATTCTGAATTCTCTTGAGGTTTGTGCAACTCTAATTCTGCCCTAGGATATTCGAATAACATGGAAGAGGTGACCAATTATAGATGAGAAGAGTTGGTCAGAACTGCATGGAGGCAAGAAGTTTTTCAATTACTGTGTTAGGATATTCCCTTCTCGTCACTATTACATTTTAAATCATAATGAAGTAAGTCATTATATTTTAGTTTGTACAGTGATGAAATATTGTATTTCCTGTTTGGGGTCATCAG